GTTGGTGGTGGGGGGGGGGGGGTTGTAGTGGCGTTTTTGTCCTTTCCGGGGCGCTCCTGTCCCACTATTATGTTTAACAACAAGGTTGAGTACTGACTTGACGCGAGGCAAGTGTTTCCCGGCCTTTAATTTTAATTCATTCACTCCCAAAGACGTATTTAGATGTCTCTTCAGACGCCACACATTTAATCCCAGTTCCTCATTTTATATTGACTGTACAGTACTTGAAAAGGGTCTGAAAGGGTCTGAAAATGGCTGGCCAAGGCACGTCTTACGTTAGAAAAATCTTACGGTACAACATTCAAAAAAAGGCCACAAAATGTAACTGTCGTAAAATAATGACGACGACATTTCAATTTACTTACCAAAATCTAGCTATAGTAAAATAATGACGATGATGAATTTTCTGAATCAAATCACAGATCTGCGTGACTTGTCGTATTCAGGTCAAATGTAACCCCTTATGACAATTGATAATGTCTATGTGTGTCTTGTTTTGTTGGACCCACTGTCGCGGTAGCGTTCCATAAGGCGGGCCACAGTATTCTGTTGGATCGTTTGCAGCACCAGGTGGTTGTTAGTGGTCGCGCTCTAGAGTGGTATAGATCTTATTTGGCAGGCGGCACATTTTGTGTAGCCTTGGTTCCTCTGAGTCCCACTCTGCCATGCTGTTGTATGGCGTTCCACAGGATTCAATTTTGAGGCCCTTGCTCTTTTCATTTTATATGCTGCCCCTGGTTTCCGCCATAAGAAAGAATATTTCCTTTCACTGTAAAGCAGATGACAGTCAGATCTACAGTACATCCCGCGAAGCAAAACGGATGCTTTCCTCTTCTGGCCACTTTTGTCCTGTCTTTAGGAAATTAAAGTCTGGATGGAACTAAACTTCAACAAAAAGAAAACAGAAATGATGGTGTTTGGGCCCAGCGGCCCTAGTACATTCTCATACTGTTGACTTGGCCCACCTGGCATCTTATCTAAAGCCAACAGTATTGAATTTGGGTCTTCAATTGGACAGTGATTTTAAATTGGACCACAAATGGTGCTCTTGTTAAATCTAGTTGTTTGTATCAAATAAAGGCCCTTATTTCTCAAAAGCACTCAAAAGTAGTGATCATACCTCTCGACTCTATTACCGCAATGCGCATTGTTTTGGAGTCAACCAGTCCTCCTTCAAGCGTCTCCAGTTGGTCCAAAATGCTGTTGCTCGCCTCCTAACTGGAGCTCGTCAGAGGGAGTACATAACTTCAATTCTGTTCGACCATCACTGGCTCCGTGTACATTTTAAAGTTCATTTTAAGATACTTTTATTTGTCTATACATCTTTAAATGGTCTTGGTCCACCTTACCCACCTGTGCCCTTCCATACCGCACATACCTGCCCGTTGCCTTAAATCAGTGGTCAAATTCGGCCTATTTCTCGACTCAAATGGATTTTAGATTTATCCGATTGTGGATTTTAGACATTTTAACCGGTATACTGCACACGCCGTTAATGTATGTATTTTGTTTGAGGAATTTTCACACCGACAACAAAATGCCAGGAGTTCTTTCTTTGTCAATGCACGTTTAAAATACGTGTAAAACATACACTGAACTTAAAACTAATTGTTGTTCTGTTTCTTGCAACTCTCACTCAGAAATGTACTCAATAAACTTTACTGTTACGCGCACAGCGTTCCACTTGCCAAGAGCGGTGAGCGTGGTGCCGCCAGTTGCAGGTGACTGGTTTGAGGTCTGCAGCCCCGCTGATAACTAATCAGCCATCCTCCTCGGTCATGTGAAAACAGCTCTGCTTCTCCCCATGAAATCTACTAGCCAGCTTTGCTCTACTGTGGTTGTGACATCCACAAGTGGTGTACAAAACCTCACGCAAAGTAAGCCGCTATGCTCTCAGCGGAATGCCATTTCTTTCTACGCTGCAGCAAACTATAGCCGCGATAGTCGGAGCTGGCAAAATTACTCACATTCGTACTCAAGTGCAAAATAAGACAAATACTCCATCAAATCAATGACTTGTGTGAAAGGAGAAAACATTGCATTGTGGGATAAAACTAATCTCCACGTCCAAGAATGTCTCTCCTTTGTTCATTTGCGCCGATACCGAGATGACAAATACATCACCAAACATGCGATCAAAACAACGTGTTGACATGGCTTTGCTAATGTGAACTGAAGAACAAAAATAAAATGATAACAACTGAAAGGAACGCACGTGACTCAAAGTGGGCTTTGTTTCTATTGGATGGAGTTTTTGAACCCCTGCTGGTTTTGACACCATTTTCTTCCTTTTCATACGCAGAGCCGACAATGTTAAACAACTTTCTAAATGAGGCCATGGGTGGGGAATATCTCACTTCTCCGCATCTATATTGTGTCATATTTGTTTTGAAAGGGGAGGGGGTAAAAGTAGAGTGTCATCGGAAGAAAAAAAACGTCAAGTGCAGATACTTGAAAAATCGACTTTAGTACAGGAACAAAGGATCTGTACTCTGTACCGTTATTTCCATCCACTGGCAAAAACGAGATGGTTAAAGAGCTCTCGTGTCTTGCACACACCAAACATCAGAGAGACTGTTAAAGCAATGCACACAAAAAGTGATGAGCTCGAAAACAAATATCTAAACTGTTACAACTGTGATGCGCGCTCGGCACACTTGGCTTGATTTTCACCTTTGTGTGTATGTGTGTGATTGAATTTGCATAAAGCACTCTGCTTGCATTCAGCAGTCAAAACTCAGCGACCCCATTCAATGCCGCGATCGTACGCAAAACATCTGAGCAGAGTTTAATGAATGCAAAAAAAAAAAAAATGACAATCATCCCGTGACCCTCGTTGTGCAACGACACGTGAATTCACACATTTTATTGATATGCCTGTTGTTCACATGTCATGGTCAATACTTATTTGTATCCCATTCGAACGTGATCAGAGTTTCTGGCACACACAGACACACACACACACACACACACACACACACAGTCAAAAGTTGAGTGAAGTGAAAATGTCGCCCTCCTTCAGACTAAAGTGGGCACCATGCCCGGGTTGCGGTGGTGCGGGTACGCCAAGGGAGCAGAGGCGTGCAGAGTCGACTGGCCCGGAATGAGGTGCGGCGCGTGGCCGTAAGTCAGGAGAGCGGCGTGGCCGAGGGCAAAAGGCCCGGCGTTGTCCTCGGCCGAATGCGGCTGAGCGGCCTCGGCGAACATGGCCGCCTTCTTGCTCTTCTTGTTCTTGTTGGACACTTTCCTGTTGCGAGTCTGAATGCCGTCTTTTTTCATGGTGAGGGGTCGGTTGACCTGTGAGGAGAATCGTAGCCGTGAGTCGCCGCCGGCCGGTGAAAATAACATCCCCGCGCGTAACTCACGTTGTGGAGTTTAAAGTAGAGTCCGCAAGCATTGCACACGGGCTCCCCATTTGCATTGCGCCTCCACAGCGTGGTTGTGCTCGTGTGACAGTTGGCACACTGCGTGCCCTCCCGCTTGCTGACAATCTGAAAAACAAAGACCGTTTTCTTTCTTTTACTATGCAAATCCCTCGAAAAGCGGCCCTATAAGCACAGCACATACCAGTCTCTTCTTGGGTCGGATCAGAGGTCTGTTCTGGCCATTCATCTTATGGTAGAGGCCGCAAGCGTTACACAGGTAGTGGCCTGTACCGTCGCGGCGCCACAGGGGGGTCGCGGTGGCTCCGCAGTTGACACACTCTCTGGCCTCTGTTTCAACAAAGTCCGACTGTGAATGTGGGAAATCCGGTTTCGATTTCACGTCTGAGAAAGCTATGGAGAGATTCCAATGAGATGAGACTTCAAAGCGGTTGGAAAAAAGTTGACCTTGACAAATCTTGTACAATAGCGCTGTCGAAAGTCTGGCCTGGGTGACGCTTTTTTTTTTTAAAATCATCTCGCTGCATATGGTAATAATAAAGTTATACACGGTTCTGCATCAAGAGCTTACGAAAATGAGCTGACACGCAAGTGTTGAGATTTAGTTGCCATTGACCTAAATGACTGTTTTAGCATCAAAAATAAAATACAAGTTTTGTTTTTTACAGCGTACGTACCGGAAGAGCTTTCACTCCTCTTTCCTATTTCTCAAAGTGCTTAGTTCAAAAGCTGGAATTGAAGTCCAGCTCTTTTGACTTGCGGAATGTTGACATATTTCATTGTTTTGTGCGTTCCCAAAGTCAAAGTCCAATCGTGCTGGATTGCCAACGACTTTCTCCTCACCTGGTGTGGCTATTCTCATTTTGTTGCGGAGTTTCGGGGAGTACGCCGGGCTGATCCAGGAAGCGGGGCCGCCGTAGTAGTTGGCTGCGGCGTACTCCTGCGGGCCCGCCACGTACGGGCTGTAAGGGCTCAGCACGTGCGTTTGCGAGTGGGACGTCGGCGCGTACGTGCTCCCGACCGCAGGGGTCAGATTGAAAAAACCGCTGCAGGACGTCGGCGAGCCCCCGAGAGGGCTCATGCGCTCGGCCTTGAGGGCCTCCTGAGGCTGAGGACTCTCCCGAAGGGGAGACGAGTGTACATCCCTGGTCGGGGGGAGAGAGGAGGAGACCCCCGAGTACAGAGAGGTGGGGAGGGTGGTTTTGGTCAGAGGGCTGCCGCTCCAGGTGCTGTCCAGAGGACTGTAGGGCGAGCCCAGAGAGTGACCGGGGGGGCCGTCCAACAACTGGAGGTTGCTGAGGAGATTCGGTGAGGCGAACACCTGGCAAACTTTTGGACAGAGCAGAGGTCATTTCAAAATCGGACGACACTTTGGACAAACAGTATGTATATCTCAACAGTCCTTTTTTTCTACAGTGTCCCCCCCGATTCCGGAAGGAGCCTTTTTAGCAAACTGTGAAATGATTGAAAGGAGCGTTTGGAAGGATTGACGGGCGACCACTGACTCGAGCTGTTTCTGTAGGTGGCTGGTGTTCGACTGTGACTCGGGCCGGAGAAGAAGGATGACAGGTTGGTGTAGTCCGTGTCCTGGCTGGAGAAGAAGACGTCCGCGTCTTCTCCCGAAGGCAGCAGACCGGACTCGGAGGAGAAGGCCGCCAGAGGATCTGAGGCCAGCAGTGATGAAGACACCCAGTGAGACGGCTCCGAAGACTCCTCCATCCTGCCTGATTGCACGGACACAAAGTGTGCATGTCACTGGAGGTGGTGGTCGAAAAAGCGGGTGGCAAAGTAAAGGCCCGAGAGCCAGATCTTGCCTCTCGCATCATTTGATGAGCTCCACTCAAGCAAAGAAGGGGCGCCGACTTGATGTTTACCGTGACAACACAATTTGGGTTTTTTTTTTCCTTCGGAACAGCTCCTCAGATTGGATTGGCTCCCTCAACAAGACGACTAGAAAATGAACTGGCTGACAGGTTGTTCATGACAACTCGAAAGCTTCGGGCACATTTATGCTGTACTGTATTCTCTTTACAGAACTTGAAATGGATTTTATGTTCACTCGTTTAAAAAAAAAAGGTTATTAGGGCATTTAAGCGTGATACCATAAAGCACTGATGTCAAACTCAAGGCCGAGGGGCCAGATCGGGCCCGCCACATTATTTTATGTGGCCCGCGAAAGCAAATCAAAAATGTCAACTTTCATGATGGTTGGGAAAATCTCTACCAAATTTTAAAATTCTCATTTGTAATAAATGAGAGTGATACTGTAAGCACGTTCTTGTTACCAAACTCCTTATTACAGTAACTTAAACAAAAGGTGAATAAACCGTTATTCTTGATTTCTTTCTATGGTTTCAGTAACAACGGCCCTCCAAGGGAAACTGCAATTAAAATCTGGCCCGCGACAAGATGAGTTTGACACCCCTGTCATAGAGGAACCTAGAAGGGGACATGTTGGCACAGGACGTTGAGTTGCCCACGAGACAGCGATATCTGATGTATCGATACTATAAATATGTCAACACGAAATGCTCCGTGCTCGTGAGAAGAAGCGAAAATGGATGGACGGATGGATGTCAAACGACGCAAGCAACCATCCGAGAGGGCTGACGCTGGAGGATTGACATGACATCCACTCATCAATCCAAAATAATAAACAACACCTACCTTTCGAGATGGAACTGTTAAAGTCAAACTGGGTCGCAGCGTTAAGCACAAAGTGTGTCCTGCCAAGTCGAGGCTTCCACAACTTGACTGACCTTGACTGGAAAAAAAAAAAAAAAAAAGCATCTCCGACCAGCAGCAGTAACGTAAAGGGCCCGCAGTTGTGTGGGAGGGATTGAGGGCCAACTTTCAGAGAGACACACCCCCTCCCTCCCCAAAAATGGATCCAGAAGACAAGACCAAAAAAAAAAAGTACTACAGGCCTCATGTTTGCAATTAAAATGGCAGTTAAAATGATCTCCAAACATATGGATGCAGATTTCTTTTATGAATACACCTTTCATGGTTCTATAAGCGCAAGAATTAAGAATCAAATAACTCTTTTACAGCATACTGAGGAACACCAAAAACAAATATCAGAGCCAACATTTTTCATGAATCCACTCGCAGATTATTGTATTATATTAAGTAAACTGGATGACTGTCATGCACTTGAATTTGTAGTCAGCCAATCCTCCATGAAACGCCTCCAGTTGGTCCAGAATGCTGCTGCTCGCCTCCCAGGCCCACCTTACCTCTCTGAGCTCCCTGCCCGTTGCCTCAAGTCTGCGGACTGGACGCTATCAGAGGTAGCGAGGAATAAGCTGAGGCTCCGAGGGGATGGAGCCTTTTGCGTTGGCGCTCGCTCTCTTTGGAATGAACGTTCGGCAAGCGCCCGCCGTCCACCTTTCAAGCCCGTCTTCAAACTCATTTTTATTCTCGACATGAGACTTGATTTTGAGTTTGACTGTTCTTGTTTGTTGTTGTAGGAATTATTTTGGCTCCACGTGCAGCACTTTGTAGACAGCGGCGGTACTGTAGTTTTAAAGTGCTTTAGAAACATAGCTGGGTGGAGTTGACAGGTGAAGAAAACAAACATTGTAAGTGGGCTACACAGAAGGATTTTTCTGACGCGGCGATGCAAAGCGCTACAGTGACGGCGAGAGATGCGGTCTGATACCATGCGGGGCTGGATACGGACAGGTCGGCACCGTGGCGGCCATTTGATAGTCAAAGCAGCGCCGCCGCTCTCTTCTCTTTGTTCATTTACAGTTTTCAGGGAAATTAGGGGAGAAGAAGATGCACTGGGCGTTTGCGCAAAGTGTGGCAATTACACCACAATGTCATAAATTATGAGGAGAGAGAGAAACCGCCAATGTGGGAAAATACCGTTGTGACCATCAACCAAACTTCCACCTTTGAATGTTTGTCCATCCAGACTTCATACCTCAGAAAAAAACATACCGGTAATAAATAACAGATCCTCTGTCCTTATGATGCGCAGTACTGCGCCAATGGAACCAACCGCCGCAGTTGATGAATGAATAGCAAAACTGAGCGTGATTCTTCTTCACATGGTTTGCATCACCCTGCGTGGTCCAGTTCGAGTCTTGCAGAGATGAACTGCAGCTGAAAAGCTTACATCCACCTCATGACTCAAACACTATTAAAAGGCAGCAGAAGAATCAGAAGGTGACCGGAGGGTTACGCTGATGCATGTACGGTAACCCTTGATGACGGCGCTGTCACATTGGGGACGATGGAGTTCATATGTATTGGTACAAGAATGTGGTGGTGAGCATGAGTGAGTGAGATGAGCCCAACTGGGCAGGGATGTGGCTTGTGCCGCTGTGTGACTGGGCTGCGCCGCTGTGATAAGCGCTTATCAAGATGAAAGGAGGAGGCCAGCAATTCAACGCCGTCACACACGCAAGACAATAAATAACGTCCACACTTTTCCCGCATGCGTTGCATGCGGACACATGTACAACATTCATTCGTTCAGACGCAGACAACACTGACAACGTCTCAGCTGACACCGGCATCATCTCGTTTGGACACGATTGAGTGGGACGGCACTCATTTGCTGTGGTGTGTCACAACTAAATTCAGAGGACTGACAAACAATTCCCAGGAAATCAACTCGTGCGTGTGTGTGTGTAGACCGTGCTCTTATCTCTGCCACACATGGCCTCCTGGGACCGTGAACGCACACACCCACACACACAAACTCGACTTTTACTGATGCCACTTGTGGCTCTTGGGGTCTTTACAGTGATCACTTGTCGTTTCAAAAGGAAAGGATAGCTGCATTCCCAAAGCCAACCATTTACAGTAACGCTTGTAGCCTTCCACAACATCAATCCCGTTTTTGGTTTGCATCTCTGGATGTATGGAAGATAAATGATGTTATTACTAATAAAAACAAAAAGTGAAAAGGGCAGTTTTTCTTTCTCAGGAACTAACAGGGCGAGGGTTCGTACGTGCCTGGTCCTCGGTCTGCGGAGTTCCATTCCTATAGCGGTGGCATGCTGTAGGTATATCGGAGTGCCTCATGCTGAAAATAAATAAACGAACAGCACCAATCCCTCACGTTGAGTTTCAATAAAGATCACAACAACAACCAAACTCATATAAAAGGCTAATTATTTTCACTGCCAACGGCTGTAAAAACCATCCATCCATCCATTTTCCAAACCGCTTTAGGGTCGCGGGTATGCTCGAGCCTACCCCAGCTGTCTTCGGGCAGTAGGCGGGGGACACCCTGAACTGGTTGCCAGACCATCGCAGGGCACACAGAGACCAACAACCATCCACGCTCACACTCACACCTTGGGACAATTTTGAGTGTTCAGTCAGCCTGCCATGCAAGTTTTTGGAATGTGGGAGGAAACCGGAGTACCCGGAGAAAACCCACACGGGCACAGGGGGGAACATGCAATCCACACAGGAAGGCCAGAGCCGGGATCGAACTCACGACCTCTGCACCGTGAGGTCGACGCGCGAACCACTCGCTCACCGGGCCACCCCTGTAAAAACCACCAAAGAAAAAATTGGTGCAGTTGCATCTGCTGAAAGGGGGTTGAAAAAAAACCAAGCGCCTGTGTTTACCATGTTTATTTTTTATTTTTTTGGATGATAAAAGATACATTACTCCCTACAGTACAAAAAAAACACACATTTGAAAATACAGGACATTTCCAGGCAACTTGCGACCGGCCGAGTGAGAAACTCGCAACGACTGCCAGTGCTGAGCACCACTCGTGGAGGGAAAAGTTCACACACATTTCGACACTGCTGATGGTGACCTATCTAACGAGGGTGCAAATAAGAGTGACCCTGCAAAGGTACTGAGGAACGAAAGGACACACTTGTATACCACGTGAAGAGAGAAACAAACGTATTAAATGTTTTGCTTTTTTTTTTTTTTCCTTGTAGAACCTTCAGCGTATGATCTAACTTAAGGCATCACTACCAAAAATACACTGCTTTTGCATGCATGTCTAGTTTTGTTCAACGGACACACCGACACGCACAAAAAAAATAAAATAATGCATATGAAGAGAAAGTTCAGCCAGAGAAAGAAACCGAGCGAACCTACAAACGGTAGCTTAGATGCGAGCCGGGCGAAACGGTGACGTGGCCAGTATCATCACAACAGAGCTGGCATGGCCTCGCGCAAACAAACTCACGTGCGGTGGGACGACACGTCCCGGTACAAGTTGACGCTGCATTGTACGGTCATGGCATTCTGAGTCTCACGCGGAGACTCGACTGGACAAGCAAATCGAAAACAATCAGGGAGCCTATAGGTAGGTATCTTTGTATATAGTTGTTTGTTGGATTTTTTTTTTTTTTTTGTCTTTCATAGTAAATACACAAAAGGCAATGACGAGATGACCAATATGTAAAAAGTTTGTCACAGGTAATAATATAAAAGGCCAACGTGATTTCTTTGTTTTCTTTTATTCTTGCTCTATGAAGGAACTAATTTACAAGTGAGTACGCCTCCGGCTCTGTTGGCTGGCCTGCTCAAAGACAACCTCGTTCAAAGTCACACAAGTTTGCACCTCGCAGCGGACCGGCCGGCACGCCGTCTGCGGTTTGAAATACAGAGTCGTGGAAGGGAAAAACAAAATTAAAATTTATTAAATGGATTCACATACATCAATAGGATTGGGGAATATGCCTACTAATATAATTTGACAATCTAAAAAAAAAAAAAAAAAAATGAAGAGGTGAGATACCACATTCATGAGCATAAAAAGCAAAAGACAACTGAGTGGGATGTTAAGGGGTTGGGTGTGAATCACGTGAAACTCCATGTTTGGCAAACGAAGCAAAACAAGCATTGGGAAGGTTGTAGTAAACAAAAGTAAAATCTCTCCCTGGGTCCACTTTAAAAGTTCCCTTCAGTCCTATAACCTCTGCAGTTCTACTTGGAACAAATACGTACAAAAGTCTTGCGCTTTCCTTCCCATCTGTTATCAACATGCAACCAACTGAATGACGTTTAAAAATATAGTGGCAACTTCAACATGGCCACCCATCTGCCCACAAACAAACTATCAGGGGAAGGGATGAACAATCCATTAAAAAAAAACAAAAAAAAAAAACGTTTTTTATGCACACAACATACTCACAGGAGGGGGGGGGGCTTTAAAAACAAATACAAAAATAAACTACACAAAATGATCTGCACCACCGCTTGCTAATTTTTGGGGAAGATTTTGCAATTGTGTGTATGTGTGTGTGTGTGTTTTGAAAGTCTCAGTCGAAGCAAAGTTCAAGGTCAATTCTCTACAAATTGTCTTTTTTTTTTTTGACCATATCTGGATGCCACCAGTCCTCATCTTGGGGTGAAAAGCGCAGCGATGACGTTACCAGGAGTCCCGTAGCATCACAAGTGTACGGACTCGCGTCTGGATGAAGCAATTTAGAGCAAACAAGAAAGGAAAAAAATAATGTCCTCTCATCAAGGACAAGTGCTTTATTTGATTCCATACCAATTTCTCCTGTCATCGAATCTAATGCCTCCACAACCTTGTTCCATCACTGTACATTTTTTATGTAGTCTCTCTCTACATCCCCTCAGGATTCAACCCCGGAAGAAGAAAAAAAAAAAAGTAACTCAGCGCTCAGTCTGGCTCCCAGTTTGTGACGATGTAAATGCTTCTCTATGCTGCTAAACTACTGAAACAACCCCCCCCCGAAAAAAAGCAAATGTTAAAATGGCGGTAAGGGAATTCGACTGAAAAAGATAATGTGCTTCTAAGTTGATGTCGCTCTACAAACACCACGGCCAACGGAACATGGACGAAAGAGGGTTTTATCTACAGAAAACATCTCAGATCGACTTTCATCTCTGCTTCATTC